ATGATACGGTCTAAATCCTGACTGGAAATCCTCACAGATACCATTTCTCTCTAAGAAGGAACATAGCTGAGAGGATTCTGCCTTTTCTAGTATTTTTATCAGAAAAAGGAGATTTGAGATCGGTCTGTAATTAACTAATTCCCTAGGATCAAGTTGTGGTTTTTAATGAGAGGCTTATTAACAGTCAATTTGAAGGTTTTAGGGACAGATCCTAATGACAATGATGAATTAATAATATTCAGAAGAGGATCTATGACTTCTGGAAGCACCTCTTTTAGTAGATGATTTAACAAGTTTATACAATTCTTCCTCTCCTACAGCAGAGAATGAGTGGAATTGTTCCTCAGGGGATCTATAGTGTTATTGTAGCTGAGGGCTGCATGGATTTAATTTGATTTATATATAGATATATTTTTTAAACAATTTTTTCAAGTTTATAATGTCATTACTGCTGTGCCATTGGGTAATGTCTGCGGCTGTTGATGCTTTATTTTTGTTAATTTAGCCAAGGTACTGAATAAATAACTGGGGTTGTGTTCGTTTTTTTTCTAAAAGAGACGAGAAGTAAGCAGATCTAGCAGTTTTTAAGGCTTTTCTGTAGGGCAGGGTAAAAAATATTGATTTCTCGATTTTAATCAATTCTCATTTTTATGAAACAATATTGATTCTTAAACCCGAAGAATCAATTAGACTAGCCTATTTTCAGTTAATGAAGGGAACATTGTAGCATGCCTCCCATCCAATAAATCACAATAAGCTTTGTGCTTTATTACTTTTGAGTAATAGTCCCAGATTTCAAATTCTGTCCATTTTATTGCAGTATCCAAACAATAAATGCCAATTTTTACCGTTCTTCAATGTTTTATGTTTGAATAAATCTGACAGAGTTTTAAATGACAGGCACCAATTGTATATATTTCAACAAAAACAAAACAAAAAAACAAAACAATGAATTGGAGTAGAAATATAATTATGTAGTTGTAACTTTATTATTATAAAACTTAATTGAGTGTAATTTAAGTGTTTGTATACAAATCAGTTAATTTGAACCTTCAAAATTATAGTAATGTAGTACCAACTGACTCGCATGTATATTTTACAGCTTTAGTTGAGTTTTTTTCCTTGAGAAAATTTGGCATATACTGTACCTGATATATCCAAAATAATTGATATTGAATCGAATCAAATTGGAAATCAAATCGAAAGCTTGTGAATCAGAATCGAATCGAACCTACTTTACTGTAGGAGGAAGTACTTTCCCTCCATGCAATACGAAATACCTCTTGTTTTGTTTTCTTCCAGCTGCGCTCCATTTTCCGGGCTGCTCTCTTTAGGGTGCGAGTGTGCTCATTATACCACGGTGTCAAACTGTTTTCCTTAATCTTCCTTAAGCGTAAAGGAGCAACCATATCTAAAGTGCTAGAAAAGTGAGATTTAATAGTTTCTGTTACACCATCAAGTTGTTCTGAGGTATTGGATATGCTAAGGAATTGAGATAAATCAGGAAGATTATTTACAAAGCAGTCTTTTGTGGTAGAAGTGATGGTTCTACCATACTTGTAACAAGGAGTAGAATTTACAGCTTCAGCTATATGAAGTTTGCACGAGACTAGATAATGATCCGAGATATCATAACTCCTGACACGAGTTGTCTAACCCCAATAGAGTTCAGAATGTCTAGAAATGCTGATCCCAATGCATCTTTTTCATTATCAACATGGATATTAAAATCACCAACAATTAAGACTTTATCTGCAGCCAGCACTAACTCGAATTATACTTGAACCCAGACTTCTGAGAAATATTGAGAATATTACTATAAATTGTAGCAACACCTACCCCTTTACATTTTGGAGCGGCTCATGTTTATAGCAGTAATCTTGGGGGGTAGACTCATTTAAAATAATGCAATCATCTGGTTTTAGCCAGGGTTCTGTCAAACAGAGCATATCTAGGTTATGATCTGTGATCAAATCATTTACAAAAAGTGCTTTCATCAAAACATCAGCTCTGGATGATTATACAAAATGATCAAGTTGTCATTGCTTTAAAATGCACATTCATTTTGTTTAAATGCATATATGGTATTTGTAAATTCTGTAACTTGTAGCATCTTCCAACTGTACTTTCTGATATCATCTCATAAAAGACTATTGTGGTGTTGTAACAGAAACATGCATTTTCTGAAAAGGTGCTTTGAAACATGTACTGTGAAAAGTATTATATAAATAAATGTGAACTAAACTAAATTGAACTGAAAGAGCCATTGTATTGTTGGTTACTGTACAGTTTTGATGTCATGGACACTGACAATACACTTACAAGAGCCATTGCAGTATTGGCCTTATTCCCTTATTCAGTCCTTGACTGTTACCATCAAAATTGTCAGACATTTCTACTGTAGCATTTTGAAGTAGAGATATGGCGCCTCCAATTGGGCCAATATTACAGTGTTCTCCTGTTACTGTATTGTCATATCTACCAAACTTATGGGTTCATATCTTCAAAATGAGAGAGTGTGTGAGAGAGAGAGAGAGAGAGAGAGAGAGAGTGAGAGTGAGAGTGAGAGTGAGAGTGAGAGTGAGAGTGAGATTGAGATTGAGATTGAGATTGAGATTGAGTGAGAGAGAGAGAGAGAGAGAGAGAGACAGAGAGAGAGAGAAAGTGAGAGAGTGAGAGTGTGTGTGTGAGTGTGGACCAGATGAAGGTGCGACACACAGATCCTGAGCATCACTGAGCACAGTGTTTCTATGGAAACAGACTTTGTTACAGTGACATCACAGAAATCTACACACAACGATAAAACAACTATATGAACAAATGTATTCACATCTGGATCGCAGTATACACAATAAGCTGATGAGCACAATAAATAGCAGCCGTGTGTGGGATGCAGGTTGCCAAGGCAACACATCCTCTCACCAATCAGAGGGCGAGAGAGAGAGACGCCCACCGCCTGTAAGAGCCTCGAACATCGCTAATAACTACAGAAACACAGAGATCTCCTTCAGAAACTAGATTTCCACAATTATTTATTTTACAATTTTGATCAACAAAAGTGTTTTTTTTTTCCAGAAAGAGGGAAAAAGGCTCAAGTTTCCAGTAAGGTGTGTGTGTGTGTGTTTTAGAGGGTGTTAAAGACACTCGCCCACATTAAACACTCTATAATACACCAGCCACGACATTCAAACAGCATCAAGAGAAAAACAACAACAACTGAAAGGAACTGAGGAGAGTTTGGAAGCTCAAGCGCTCCGATCACAGACTCAGGAAAGGCAGAGATTATTCTAAAAAAAGCAAGTGTAAATTATCCCATCACCCGAGTGTCACACACACACACACAGAGCGGAGGAGCACGTCACAAACACTGCTGAGCACGACACACACATCTGCACAGAACAAGCACACTGCCTTCATCACAGCAGATATTTGGCTCATATTTTCATCGATCAGAATAAGAATAATCTGAAAGCGTCTCCATCTCAAAAACACAAACAAACCAACAGAAGCAGAAGAGAAGTGCGTCCTGCTGCCTGAGGCGAGTATTGCATGAGGAGCCTCTCGACGCCTCGCGTTAAACAGGACGATTGTCAGAAGAGTTTATGAGGGCAGGCGGAGAGAGAGAGCGCCACCTTCAGGCACTTAGTGATTCTGCAGTTCACCTGTGTTTGTGCATATCAGCGATTCCAAAGGGCCCTGAGATCTGCAGCAGTTAAATTCAGCCTTCAGTCCGCACGTGTGTGTGCGTGTGTGAGAGAGAGAGTGTGTGTGTGTGTGTGTGTGTTCAGTTATCGACGCCCAGTTTAGAAATGCCCTGACGAACTTCATGGAGCTCATCAATCTTCCCGTCCAGAACGTCCATGAACTTCTTGAGATCGCTCTTGATGTTCTTCTGTTTCTGCTGACTGTCGTCGATCTCGCTCTGCAGGAGCGTCATCTTCTCGCTCAGGTCTCTGTTGGCCGTTTCTGCAGCCTGTAAAACATCAGTAAACACATGCAGACGTGAACCTCTCCAACACGAGTCAACATGCAGAACCGCGAATTCACACTGGCATGATGAACGTTTATTAACAATATTCTAACAGCATGAGTATTCCTGGAGCAGTCGTGTGTGTGAGGTTAAAGTTCAGTGCTGTAAACAGAGACAGTCGTCTAAAGTTCGGCGCACGGCTGCAATGCAAAACTGCAGAAACGCAGCAGCACTGAATCAAATGCTTCGTTTTGAAACACTGAAGAAAATAACACACATCTCTAAATAAAGCAACACAGCGTCTCAGTGTTCATGTTCACTGCCAGACTCACTTACACAATTACAGAAACTCCAAAAAACAGATTAAACGAATTGCGATTGACGCACATATAGAGTAACAAACTCTAGTCCTGAACTCATCTGAAAAGTATTTAAAGAAAACCTGCCATTGATTTATACTGACAGCATTCAGAACAATCACTGTAATATTTGCATCGTGAATTAGTGATTACAAACATTAGGTTTTCATGAGCAGATACAGCTGTGTATGTGACACAAAGACTAATCTAATATTTTCATATCGTGTCACGTGTCTTTCAGAGCAAATGTGTGACGCAGATGCTAAATGCAGTCTGATTAACATGTGCAGACGCCAAAATACAATCACATCACCTGGATCTGTTAGTCCAACAAAAAACGGATTGATTTCAGCTCAGCTAAAGCATTTACATGACATCTGAAAAAGACATTTTACTGCTTTAGTCTGACTGAGACTGAACTTTTAAAATTTCCTTCAGCAAATTCAAACTAGTAGCTGTTGCTCCATCAGTGTAATCCACCAAACACCTTCACAAGCAAATGTGAGGATTCTCAGTGAAGGAATGAACCGTGTACTCAGACCGATCTGCGACTGAGGTCCGTTAGAAGAATGTGTGTTTGTTTGTTTGTTGCTCACCTGTAGTTTGGCCGTGATGCTTTCACATTTCGTCATGAGCTGCGGGATGGTTTCAGCCTGTTTGCGCAGGTCCTCGAGCTCCTGAAAAACACCATCATACGTGTGTGAGTGAGTGTGTGTGTGTGTGTGTGTGCACGCGTGTGTGTGAGTGTGAGAGAGAGTGTGTGTGTG